CTTGCGACGGGCACTCACTCTTAACTGTGAGCAGATAGATAGCCAAGATTCCAGACATTCAAGAAAAGCCTCTAACATGAAAACTAGTGATTAGGACAAGCACATGTTGAAGGAGACATTGTAGGAATATGCATAGAGAAGAAAACCTCAGAGAAACCATGTAACCACACAAAATAAGGACAAAATGCTGTATTTCTTTAAAAAAAGGAACACTCAGGGGCCCTCCCTGGTGGCACAGCGGGTTAAAGCATAGCACTGAGAAGCTAAAGTCACTTCCACATGAGTTCGATTCCCGCCTGCCCGGAGGTGACCACATGGCGTGGCAGACCTCTCCTGAGCCGCCCGCTGCTCCCCTCAGCAGAGTACTTCGTCAATCTGCCTGTTCTGCTCCCCACTCTGTCTCTGGTGAAGCCTCTCCACCCCTGAACCTCTGGCCTGTACCCCAGTTCTGTATGCACAAATAAATAAATCTTAAAAAAAAAAAAAAAAAAAAAAGGAACACTCAGAGAACACAAGCAGGGCTCTGCGAGCTAGAATGTGGCAGTAAAATGAAGGAAGATTAGAAAGTAAAACTGAGCACATCTTTTAAAAAGCAGCACAAACATACAACGAGATGCAAAATAAAAGAGTAGAGTATCAGGCCAGGAAATCTACTACCTGAGTAATATCGAAGTTCCTAAAAGAATAGAAGGAGCATCGATGAAATAATTCAGCAAAGTTCCCAGAACTGATGGAAAAGAAATTTGAAGGGCTCCCTGAGGGCCCAACACAGTGAATAAAAATCAGTGCACACCAAGACTTACCTCTCTCAAGACTTCAGATACTGGAGATGATTTAAGATCCTAAAAAGTTTCCAAGAGAAAAGCGAGAACACCAAAAAGCTATAGGACACAGAATAGCTCCAGGCTTCTCAGCAGTAACACTGGAAACCTAATAAATTATGGAAAACCATTTTCCACCCTGAATGCTGTACCCACTCAAATTGACTACAATCAAGTATAGCCATTCACTGCATAATCACATTTCGGTCAACAGTGCCCTGCACCTATGATGGTTCTGCCAAAATTCCTGTTGCCTTGTGATATCATAGCTGTCATGACATCATAGCTAATGTGACATCATGGCATTTTTGGGCTGACCTTAGCCATATACAACTGAAGAGCATCGCTTTCCCCTGTGCCTGATTTAATCTCATGTTTTCTCATGGCCCCTAAGCATACAAGATGCCACTGTAGTTCAGTCTGCAGTACAGTACATGCTGCCTATATTTGTAGCCTATGAGCAATAGCCAAGTGCCTCCAGTCCAAGACCCCCATCTCTATCCAGTAGTAGGCTAGACCATCGTGGTTTGTGAAAGAATGGTGATATTGCCTGACAGTGCATTTCTCATACCTTGTCCCTTTTATTAAGTGACACATGATTAAATGAAGTAAAATAAATATCCTTTCAGGCATGCAACATTCCAGAAAGTGTCCTCCCTTATGGTGTATTTCTCAGCAAACTAGTGATAGCGATGTTCTAACCAAATTGAGGGGTGGGCCACCAGGGGATAGATGTGGCACTTAAGAAGGAGAAGAGCAGTGCAGAGGGGCTCTCCCATGCCACTCTGCAGCCAGACCAAACAGCTCCCACCACCGCAGGCACACACCTGGGAGAGACAGCAGCAAGAAGATGGCACGAATACGTGCCGGCCTGGACCCCATGAGAGGAGATTCAGGTAGGAGACGGGAGGTCAAAACTGTGATAAACTTGTACAAAGTAAGCAAACATAAAAATGACAATTATTAACTCTAGGGAAAACAAAAAGTGCTGGGAGGGAAAAGTAAGCAAAGGCACTCACATGGCTTTCCCTTGAATGGTGTTTACAGACTAAAAGCAATGCAGACACCTAGGACCGCTTTTGCCAAAGTAAGACTACCTTAGTAGGGCGGGAGCTGTGAGGGGCTTCATGTGCAGTGTACAGGCCACGGGCACAGAGAGAGATGCACATCCTCCAAGAGAGAAGCAAATTAATAATGCATAAAATTAAAAGTCTCACAAAGCAGGAATACCCACAAAATTGACTGAACTCTTCAAAATGGTCCCCCTTTGCAGAGTAATAGGACTAAGTGCTTGTGGAATGTTCTTTTTATAGTAGGTTGAACCAATAAACTGGGTTCATATAGAATAGATCTTGAATTAAAGCTTAAAATTAAAAATGAAGCACTGAGACTTGAAAGACAATTGCTAAGGTATTATTTGCATGTAAAATTCTTTTGCTGGTGAGGTATTGACTTTTTCCTGGTCGGGGTAATGATTATGTAACTGGGCTACATTTATGAAAATCCATCAAACTAGCCAGATATAATTTGTGCATTTTTTTTTCATTTGTATGTTTACTTCAACAAAAGTTCCACCTAAAAACTGCTGATAGACTGCATCCCGTTTCAGGAGCTTTGTTACAAGCAGGACACTCCTAGGTGATAATCCAGAAGATGATGGTCCAGCCCCAAATGGCCCCGTTGCCTAGAGTCTGTCCTTTTTGGAATTCTTTCCCCTCAGCATTTCTGAGCTTGCCCAAGGAACACTCGTGCTCCACACATCAGCCCTGACCTGTGGGTCCCCCACAGCCACCCTCTCCCTATTAAGGACAGGTCTGGCCATATTTACAGGCTCTTCCAGGCTGCTGTTAGGTTTCCTTGCAAGGGTAACCCCAAGACCAGTGGCCCAGCCTCATAAACAAGGTGAATGGCTGGATGGGGTGCTCCTAGAACAGATCCTGAGCCGCCTCTTGTATCTCCCCCTCTTACTTCCTCACTAACAACTGTCCACAATATTTTTTACTGCCAATCAGTGTCTAACAAATAACATTAAGTCCCTTGAAATTATGCTGAAAGTGCCTATTTGGGGAATGTGCTTATGTCAGTTTCTCCAGCTCCTATCCAGTCAGTACAGCAAAGACCAAGGGAACTGGGAGGCAGGAAATGAAAACTTCAAAATGGAAATAAAATCTTCCTGTGTCTGGAGTCCATGTTTATGACAAGGCCACAAGGCACACCTGACCGCGGGTTTCTGCTGCTCATCTTGCCTGGCTTCCGCCTTCCCCATCTGTTCTCCAGACCCCATCTTCATTGGCATCTTCACTGCAAACTCAGTAGAACTGTCAGATTGCCTTGGGTGCAAAACACCTTCACTGTTATCATACAGAGCAGTTTGACTTTCTTTTCCCAAACTTGCTAGTATTACAATTTAACTCTCCGTGTACACAATCAAAATGGCCACTCAAGTATCCCAACCAAATCTAAAGAGCAGCCTCCTCTCCATGACTGTCATTTCTCCCTGCGGACACTGGAAATTGCCAATGATCTCCATGTCAATTTTGCTAGCCTGGGAAACGTCCAGGTCCCCGCAGGTGATCTCGTCTCAGAGTGTCCAGGTGCTGTTAAACGGAAAGAGGGGGACATGATGGAATTTTTCCTGCCGTGGAATTCAGGACTCATGGGAGAAGCACTTCTCCTGCCTCTACAAAGAATAATTGTTCTTCTCCAGAACTGTGTGGGGTTGTCTTTGTTTTAAGGGACACTGTGAATTTTGTATCAGCCTCTTTCCCTTTTCACATCACTAGTTAGGAAGCTCGCAGCCTGACCTGCTGTGGAGGAGTCTTAGTGGAGACTCGGGTCAGGAATTGGTCCTTGTGGTGTATGGGGGCCCTCACCTCACTCTTGTCTGTCACCATTTTGTTTTCACGCTCTTTCTTCCTTTTGCATCATTTTGCTTACTTTGAATGTATTCTACTCTGTTGTGTTCATTTTTTTTTTTTAAAGATTTATTTATTTATTCGTACAGAACTGGGGTACAGGCCAGAGATGCGGAGGGTGAGAGGATTCACCAGAGACAGAGCGGGGAGCAGAACAGGCAGATCAACGAAGTACACTGCTGAGGGGAGCAGCGGGCGGGTCAGGAGAGGTCTGCCTCGCCATGTGGTCGCCTCCGGGGGCAGGAGGCGGGGATCGAACTCATGCGGAAGTGGCCTTAGTTTCTTAGTGCAGTGTTTTAACCCGCTGCGCCACCAGGGAGGGCCTGTGTTCATTTTTGAAAGCCTTAAAGTCCCTTTCCAAGACATAAATAAACAGTAAGATTACAGGTGCTGTTAGAACTACCAATAGACATTGGAAGGCAACCTGAAGCAAAGATCATTGTATCCAGAGAGTAAGATTGCAGGTGATTTATTTTTCCTTTTCAAATGTACATTAATCATGTAAAGTGCACAAACAATCTTTTTAGTAACTTTTTCTCATTAAAAAAGTAATGAAGGGCCCTCCCTGGTGGCACAGCAGGTTAAAACACTGCACTGAGAGGCTAAGGCCACTTCCGCATGAGTTCGATCCCCGCCTGCCCCGGAGGTGACCACATGGCATGGCAGACCTCTCCTGACCCGCCCGCTGCTCCCCTCAGCAGTGTACTTCATCGATCTGCCTGTTCTGCTCCCCACTCTGTCTCTGGTGAATCCTTTCACCCTCCGTATCTCTGGCCTGTACCCCAGTTCTGTATGAATAAATAAATACATCTTTAAAAAAAAAAAGTAATTGTTCATTAGAAAATAAAAAAACTACAAAGCTGAAAATTTGTATTATTCATCACCCAAATCTCTTGATAATGGTGTTATCTTTAGACTTTAGGTGCATATGTGAGTGCATGTATTTGTTTTTTCTGTATATTTTTCAAATCAAAGTTTTTATTTATAGATTTTTTTTACATGAACTATTGTTTGCATGTAACAATGAGTTCTGGACATTTTCCCTTATGATTCAGTGTTCTTTTGTACCATCATTTAAAATTGCACAAATCTTACAGGTCCTACTTTATTTGTCATATTTATTGAACGGATTCCTTTTTGCTGAGTACTTAGGCTGTTCACAATTAGCCATTCAATTCCAGGTTTATCTAGATGGCCCGAAAGAACAAATTTTACCAAACCATGTCTCTTCTACAGTTTTTTTCTTTTTTCTGTCTCATTGCAGTGGTCTCTGGTTCATCATCCAGCTCCAAGTATGACCCTGAGATCCTGAAAGCTGAAATTGCCACTGCAAAATCCCGGGTAGGGGCGTTTGCCTGTCCTGTTGATGGGGGTCATCAGGGTAGCCTTAGGTCGCCAGCCCCTCCAGACTTGAATAGAGGCTTCAGCTAGGCAGTGGCAGCCACTAACAAGACCTGAAATATTAGCAGTAGACGTCTTCATTGTCATAGTAACAATATTGGTAAACAGCAGCTACCATTTTCCATGACATCACTATATGCAAGGCAGAGTGCTTGGTACTTCATGAGTATCACATCCCAACAACTGCACAAAGTAGCTGCTGCCATTACTTGTATTTTAAATATGAACAAACAGGCTTGTGGGTACTGAGTACCACACCTAAGGCCAGAAGCGAATCACGGCTCATGCCACAGTTCATAATGTAGTGTGTTACTGCATGGTCTATTTTACCGTATTTAGTTGCTTCATGTTTATTTATCTTAGGGGATAGCTACTGTTATTCCCATTTTACTGATAAGAACACTGAGGCACATAGTTAAGTAACTTGCTCAATGTAAAGTCAGTATTTTGAACACTGATTTAGTTTAATTTCAAATAGCTTCTGCAGACTCAGATGCCTGACAGAAAACAAGAAGTGGGGGAAGTAGGCTGGCGGTGAGGCAAAGGGAGTAGTGAGGACTGTATAACCCATGTATAATGGGTTGTTGAATTTCAGCTCTGGCCTCTTATGCCCCTGCTGTCATGTGAGTTCACTGTTGGTAGATCTTTAAGTATTTTTAGAGAAGAATTGTATATCTATGTTTACTATATGAGCTCACTCAGCATTTAATTATTAGGCGCTAATTTTTTAAATTTTAGTAATACTGAAGGCTAAAGAAAACATTCTTGCAGGCTGGGTCTGGTTGCCAGGCCATGTATTGCCTCAAAAGTTATTATAATATTTCTTATGACTGTGTACAGCACTCCTGTACTTCTTTAAGTAATGCACAGCCCTGGGAACTGCCATTATCCTCACCCACCAGAACAGGAAAGGGGGGATCAGAGGTGACTTGACAGAGGTCAGCCAGCTAGGCATGGGAGGCCAAATAAAGGCTAGCTAGGAATGACCAGGAAAATGACAGACCAAATGAAGGCCAACTGGATGGCCTTCACCAGTGACATCAGTGAAGGGAAGATATAGTGGCCATGTGAGCTAGAAATGGTGACTGGGTCATTAGAAGGGACAGCAAGGGGTCTTGGATACCTACTGGGGAAGAAGGCAGCCTGCGGCTCACTACCAGCCCATGTGTGTGGTCTTCTGTCATCCAGGTCAACAAGTTGAAGAGAGAGATGGTTCACCTCCAGCAGGAGCTGCAGTTCAAAGAGCGTGGCTTTCAGACTCTGAAGAAGTAAGTCCACCTGCCATGGACCCCTCCCAGACGCTTCTCTTATCCCCTTTTAGTCTGTCTTCTCTCCAGTTCTTTTCTTCCCTCCTCAAAATGCGATTCACCTTCCATTCCAGCTCTGGTCCACTGTGGTATTTAACTAAAAATGTTCTCCCACAAGGTTGAGATTTAGAAAGCAGAAGGGAACCCACTGGAGACTACAGATTTCTTATCATCCTCTGAATTCCTAAAGCTGTTAAGGTCTGTGCCATCCAGCAGAGCTTTACGAACCAGTCATACAAACAGGGAACATATGATGTCACTGTGCACCCATCTCCTCACTCCCACAGTGAATAAAGAGATGTTCCATGACCCCTGAAAGCAAGTATGGACCTCAGTGACCCCTGAGAGCAAGCATGGACTTCACCCAGTGTCTTTCAGTGTCCAGTGTCTTCCATAACGAGCACATTCCTAGGAGAGTGTGTATGGTGCCGTGTGCCCCATGCTTGATGGGCGACCTCAGAGTTTCCAGGGTAACTTTGACCCAATGTAAGTTTCTCCCTTTTAGGAGCTGACTAGCAGCTCCTCTGCAGGGCTCTGCTCTGGCTTTAGAACAGGAGTGTCCATTGTCCCCCTGACAGTCATGCTTGCTGGGATTTGTGAGGCAAATGTGCTGGGGAGCACCTACCTCCACCACTACCTTCACGCTACCTCGAAAGTCTGTAAGGGGTGTTCGTTTAGCTAACGCCATCTCTACAGAGGAGGAAACCAAGTCCCTTGGAAGGACTCAGTGTTAGTGGACTGTTACTAAGCACAGCACAGACCTGAGACTTTGACATGAATCAAGTTCAGTGAGCCTGCTGAGCCAATGAACACACATTCTGAGTGCCTGGGGTCCCCTTGGAGAGTCCAGGGAGGACATCCGGTAGATTTCTCCATCCTCGGGAACATCTCAGAATCCCAGTAAGGCTGCATCCAGACAGGAGGCAGCTTCTGAAGTCATTTACTTTCTCTCTCCCTATTACTGCCCTTTTTTTCATCCTATAAACTTCAAATCTACCCCACTGCTCTCTGGCCACAACCCCCAGCCTCTGGATGTCTGACTGGAGACTCCATTCATTGAGGAACTGTGCCACCTGTTGAGGGCATAGTTGCTTCAGGGTTATTCATATTTTCCCACCTCCCCCACCCCCATGAATTCTCCCACAGCACAAGGTAAGAAGAAATTGTGGTTTTATATTACAAATTGTCTATAATACATTTTTTTTGGTATTACAAAAAGCAACACCAAAAAGTATTTTAAATGATGACCTTATATGTGTGTGTGTGTTATAGAGCTACATATTGATGTGTGTGTTTATGCACATACATGTGTATATGTCATCATTTAAAATACTTTCTAATTTGAAAAATGTGTTACACATGATTCGTAATACAGTCCTGCCTCTTAACCCAGATGCTATAAACTCCTAAAGACAAGGGACTGTGCTTTATGCTTCTTGATACTCGGCAGCACCAAGGACAGTGGAGGGCAATAACGTGAGTTCAGACAGTCCCTGGTTTTTGTTCTATGAAGCAAATAGCTCCTCACTCTCCACTTTGTAGTAGCACCACTTGAGAGCACAGATTTGAGCACTTCTAGCTCCCGGCAACTGCCTCCCCTCCTCCTCTTGGAGTCCCCCCCAGCTCTGGTTAGAACACTTCCCATTATTCTCCCAGCCACCACAAACCTGTTTTACTACTTTGTGACCCTGTAGCAGCATTGAAAATCTTGTCGTTTGGTAAGCTGATCCCCAAGCACCAGAGACCAGCCTCCTTTATTTTTCCCTCCCTCCTCTCCATGCTTGATATCTGGCCCAGATAAGAGTTCCTCACAGCTCTGGCTGCTCAGCTCTGTCCTGGAAGCCAGCTCCTGTGTTTGGTGAGGAGGAAGGCATCTGCCCTAATGCACACCTTGGCAGAGGTTAGGGGTTAATGTAGGCACAAGAGGCCAGTGGACTGGGTTCAAATTCCAGTTCCTTGGGAACTTGGGAAAATGACTTAAACACCCCTCCACCCCCCAGCTCTGGTTTCTTTGTCTGAAGAATAGCTTATTGGAAAGGTCATATTGGAAATTCCACCTCAAGGCAGACCAAAAAAAGCCTGGCAGGGAGGGAGAGTCCAGTGAGTGTGGTGGGCTGGGCACCTCTAGCTCATTGCCTTTTTGAACTTTGGAGGGGACTCAGATGAACTTACAGTTCATCCTGGCCTGAGGCTGCTCAGGGAAAGCACTGGTGCAGTCACTCTGTTTCATTGTCCTTACCCCCATCTGAGGATTTTTGTTGTGCCTCACCTATACATGAGGACACTGATGGGGTTTGAAAACAGCTCCCAAGCCACGGGGCCAGTCAGCATTGGACTGTGTTTTGAGCCCAGAACTACAGGATTTTGAAGCTTAAACCAAATGCTAACCTGTCTGGTTCCCGATAACCTCCTCCACAGACACCCCTTCTTCCATCTCTCTTGGGATCCTTTTCAGAGTCTAGGAAGGGGATGATCCCATTAGCCCCCTCTCTTTGAGGGGGGGGGAGGGGAAATGTATCCCTGTGTTTGATGTGTGGTCAGTAATCCCGGTTCTAAAGCTACAGATTGATGTGGATTAAAGGCCACCTCTTAGAGGAGGTTGGAACATCCAGACCAAAGCTTGGGATTTGGGGCTGTCAGCTGCCCTGAGCCCTTGTAAATAGGAGAGAGTTGAGACTTGGTGTGTCATCCTCGTGGGAGGACAGCAGTTCCGTGTCTCTGCAGGTCCCCTGAGCCGCCCTGCCCAGGTGGGCGTAGTCTGGGCAAGACTGAGAGGAGCTGGCTGCTGCCTGGGCCTCTGCCCTGCTTCCCTGTGGCTCTCCTGTGGCTACCGGGCGTGTGAACCTCTGAAGTGCTGGGCGAAAGGACAGCTGCACGATTTGGAAATCCTAAAACATACGCATCCCCCCACCCCACGACCACACAACTTTTCTTTCCCTTAAAAAAAGATTCATTCACTGAGAGTATAATGGTGACCCTTTGTTCCCTGCCTCTCCCCACCCTCCCCCCAAGTCCCAAGAGTGTTCCCTTTCGGACTACTCTCCACAGCCAAATTCCACAGCCTGGGTTGCTAAGGCCCCTGAGACATCAGGTAGGGGCAGTTTGAGGAGCCCAAGGCCCAGCAGACAAACCCCTTCTGTCTCATCCTGCTGAGGATTCAAAGCCAGCCTCACCCTTCTGGCAGAGGGCGGCTGAGAGCGGCCCCCTCCCCAGTGCCCCCAACCCCTGGGCTTGCTCGAGCAAACAGTGTCTCCCCTGTCCCCCTCGACTTGGGATCGAGCCACTCGATCCTGACACCCACTCGAGGGAGCCTCCTTTCCAGGCCTCTGCTGGAGAGAACTCCCCTTCGTCTGATTTTCTAGACTAAATCTGAGACCCGTCCTGCCCGACCTGTAGACTCGCCAGGTCTAACTCCTCGAAAGGAATAGACAGCTATTTTTAGTGGGGAGACATAAATGGGGCTTTGTTTTCCCTCCATGGAGGCTGAACGGAGGAGGTGTGGACTGTGCTGACACCCCGGGCCTCCCTCCCTCTCCTGCTTAGAGGCATGGACTTGAGACCTGGGTGCCCACCTAAGTCCCCAGTTCAGGTTATTTTTAGCCCGGACAATTTGGTCTCTAACTGGAGAGCAGAATGGCATGTCTGTGAGCGGCTTCTGGCCTAACATAATGGGTTTGTGGTGTTCCTGCAGACTGTAAAACTTCCTTTCCTTTCCTGGAGTCTCAGACCTCAAGCCTGACTTTTGACAAAAGCGTGAAGCAATGACAATGTATCTGTGCCCTCCAGACCATTTCCACAACACAACTCTTCTCCCCTATGATGGGAACCCCACCACCACTTGGTTTGGTTTGATTTTTAGAAATGACTTTGTGACCCCTTTTCCATCCACATCAAGATAAACCTGTATATAAGTCCACAATACACCAATGAGCTCTCCAGTTATAATTATTTTAGTACTTTGCATCTGGTACATCCTAGCTTACCAGGTGACTTTGTCCATCTCTGACCCCATTTGACCCTCCTAATAACTCCATGAACATGGACTAGGCCAAAGACATTATTCAGAATTTTTCAGGGGAGAAAGCTGAGGTGTTTTGCAGTTGAAGATGATGTCCCAGATCACATGCTAAGAAGGAGGGGTGGAGCCTCCCTGTTAGCCTAGGGGTTAAGTCTCAGCACTGTCACTGCTATGACTTATGTTCCATCCCTGGCCAGGGAGCTGACCCACATAATGTAGCAGGCTTCTTCTGTCTCCAGTGAATCTTCTCACCACCCCCATATATATAGCTGGTCTACACCCCACTTCTCCTACACAAAAAATACATCCATACATACACATAAGGAAGTAGAGAGGGCAGCTTTTCGTCCTTCTAACCTTTCCTTTGTTGTGTCAGTTTATGTGCTTATTAAAAGCAGTGGTCCTCACCAGGAGTGATTTTGTTCCTCCCCCAAAGGATATTTTTGGCAGGGTATGGAGATAATATTGGTCGTCACAACTCAGAACCGAGATACTAGTAGCACCTAATGGGTCGAGATGGGACCCATGGGATATTACTACATCTCACAGTGTATAGGGCAGCCCCCACAGCAAAAAATGATCGAGCCCCAAGTTTCAAGAGTACTATGGTTGAGAGCCTTGGCTTAAGGTACTATTCTATGCCAGATACTAAAACTGTTCAAACATGCTCAACCCTGTCTCCAACCATATGCCTGTCAGAGTCCAGGATTCCAGCACAGAAACTGTTAATTATAATACAGTGTAGTGCATAGTGTTGTGGCTGCACACCATGTGTTATGGGGTCACCTAGCCCAGCCTGGGGAGCCCAGGGAGGTAATCAAGGAAGGCTTCCCCTCAGACCTGACATTTAGAGGACCATTAGCCTCAAGAATGCTGTTGCTTCTATAGCCACACACTATTTGCAACTGCACAGCGACCTTCTGTGCCTTTCCCATCTGCAGGGCAGGGAGGATGCTTTCAGAGGGACCGAAAAACCGTGGGCTGTGCTTCTCCCCTCAGGAAAGCCTACACCTGGCCCCGTCTTCGTTTCTTTGTCTGACCTTTCCCATTGACTGTCTCTTAGAATCGATAAGAAAATGTCTGATGCTCAGGGCAGCTACAAACTGGATGAAGCCCAGGCTGTCTTAAGAGAAACCAAAGCCATCAAAAAGGCCATCACCTGTGGAGAAAAGGAAAAGCAAGATCTCATTAAGGTACGCACGTTCCCGGTGACCTGGGCCCTGGCCCCATTGCTCTTGAGCACCCGTCTGTCCAGTACTCCTGGGGCTACTGCCAGTCACTGAGGTCACCTTGCTAGTTTTCTTGGACTGTTGGTTCTCATTGTATAGAAGAGGAGATGGAAGTTCAGAAGCACTCAGTGACTTTCCCAAGGTCACACAGCATGTGTAAATGGCAGATCTGGAAAAGAGCCCTGTTGTCTAGACTAACGACTGTCCTGGCCACGAGCTCTCACCACCTGACTGACTTTTCAACGAGCCAAATGGAGGGCAGGGAGTTTCGACATACTAACCTTGACATCAACACGGTAGTCTTTATAAGCGTTTCATGGTATGTATTGACTCTCTGCTGGGGACAGAACGACTAACAACAGATATGAAGCAGTGTGCTGGGCAGTAGAGCCAAATCCTCTGCATGCATGGTGCTTCCCTTCCTGCCATCAATGCTCACTGATCCCCGTTATAAAGATAAAGACTATAAAAACTCAGACAGCCCATGGTGGGGTCCGGATTCAAATGCATGAAAGCCTTGCTCGGAAGCTGCTTCTCTTAATCCCTCTCCATCCTGCCTCGTCCCCCGGGAACAACCCTGGCCTCTGAGATTGTATTCCTGTTCCTCATGGAAGATAGGAGGCCGAGACTCAGATGCAGTAAATGGCTTACAAAAGGGGGCTTTCTTTACGCTCTAAGACAAACAGTAGCTTCGAAGCTTATGCCTGGGGCTGCAGCCCATTGAGACTATTCAGATGATGCAGTGGGGGACGGTGAGGCAGTGTCCAGGCATACTCAGCAAATGGAAGCCCCGAGTCTTAATTGATGGACCAGGACCAAATCCGGACACTGTCAGTGACCATATTCTCCATCAACAATTGCCTTGGTATAAATTGGGGTGAGGGTGGGTAAAGCCTGGGTCATCCCTCACACTGGTCAGGAGGAAATATGATCGTGGTAACACTGTGTTAGCACCTCCCACTGTTCACCTCATTTCATTGAAATGATGGTCCTGGGAGATTGAACTTGTGATGACTCCCACTTTGCAGGAGAGAAACTGAGGCTCAGAGAGGTTAACCAACTAGCTCAGATCACACAGCCAGCAAGTACCAGAGCAGGGGTTCCAAATCAGGCAGTGTGGCTCCATACTGGTCTCTCTTGGACCCAGCACATGTCTGGCTTGAGTAAGCTCCCAGTCATTGTCAGCCCTTCCCATGATAAGTAGGAGATCTGGGGTAAGCCTGGGCTCCCACTAAGTCTCCAAAGGTAAAGAGGAAATGGGAGCTCCTTCCCAGAAAGGTGGTCACTAATCCCTGCCTCCCCCTTCAGAGCCTCACCATGCTGAAGGACGGCTTCCGCACCGACAGAGGGTCCCACTCAGACCTGTGGTCAAGCAGCAGCTCCCTCGAGAGTTCGGGCTTCTCACTGCCCAAACAGTATCTGGACGTGAGCTCCCAGACAGACATCTCGGGAAGCGTGAGTAGGCAGCAGTGCTGCTGGGGCCCTTGGGACAATCTCCAGAGGGGACCTCCTCACCTTACTCACCTAAGGGCTGGCCAGCAGCTCTCCAGTGGGGCTGGCTGCTAGCTACTAGACTCCTGCACATCTCCTGGACCTAGGATGGAGATGACTCCCTGCCCCTGGTGCTGCCTGCCACATGCTAGCGTCTAAAAGCTGCACAGAAAACACTTCGCTTTCCCTCATAAGACTTTGCAGGCTCGTGCTGTTTTCCTTTCATCCACTGAAAAACAGAGGAGAGCATCCTCCTGTTTGTCCCAAAACGATGCAGGAAGCTCTGAGCTGCCTGATTGATTACCTGTCAAAAGTACAGCCTAGTCATGGCAATGAATTCTGCCAGTGCTGTCTGTTGCAGCTCATGCAGCGTCAGAGCAGGACTGACCCAGTACTTGTCCCTCTGGGAGAACTTTTCTTTTCCTAGAACACAGAAACATTCCTAGTGACGAGGAACAAGGCCACCTCCCAGCCTCCCTGGCTTAAGTGCTATCCTGATGTAATTTCCATAGTTGGGTTCCCACTTGTGAAGAGAAGCTATGTCCACGTCTAACTGGGTGAGCCTTGGAGCTTTTTGATGCCCTTGGCAGACTGGCATGGCACGTGGGGCTGCCTCCTTACCCTGACCACCCAGTGTCCAGCTACTAACCAACTGGGGGCCCAAGTATTGCTGAGGGAGCCTTGTGCTATATCGCAAGATGTAGGACCTTTTCCTCACTCGCCCAGTGCTTCATTTCTGAATTCCCTTTACCAGCACCCCCAGAATGGCTTCCTTGTGTACTGGCTGCTCCTGTGGCCTCCTGACCTTCTGACTGTCTTCCCTGCTTCTGTGGTTTGAATGGGCTCCAAGCCATTGGAGCTGCAAGGTGGTATTCTGAGCCCATGGCTTCTCTCTAGAAATAAGAGATTTGGGGTTCTTCCTGTGGCCTGAAGGAAGACAAGTGTTTTTGCCTAACCAGCTGGCCTGGGAGCCACATAGCCAGATCAATAATTGGGGGGCTATTCTTTTCTATTGCCCAACGTAAGCCGCCAAGTCTCCAGTGAGCTCTTGAAGCCCAGCTCAGCACTGATCACAGCAGCCATCTAATTTTCAGCTTTGTTCTGTCCTCCAGTTCGGCACCAGCAGCAACAATCAGTTGGCAGAGAAGGTCAGATTGCGCCTTCGATATGAAGAGGCTAAAAGGAGGTAATTAGAGGCCGAGGGGTAGAGGGCGCTTTCACAATAACAGCTATTGTGGTCAAGTGTATGCTTGTGTACCTGCTTTCATGCATCGTCTCTTATTTAATCTTCACCAAGATCATGCAAATGGGCATAAAAATCTTTGTATTTTAATCTTCTTTGAAATCAAAAGTGGAAATGACTGGTCCAGAAACACTTCACTAGATAAAGAGTTAAACTATGTTTTGAACACAAATATAGTAAATCTTAAAACCTGCTAGATCTTTCCACCTGCTAGAGTCAGTGTCTGTAATAAAGTACGTACTACACTTTGATTGTAACAGGAGGCATGAAAGGGTATTTGTGGTATTATTGTACACCAAGTTGACTTCAGGCGCACTGGATCCAGTTATTAAAACAGTGTCACATAGGCTCAATATGGATCCTACCCATGTCAGTGCCTCCTGCCCAACAGGAAGAGAACTGTGCATTTCAACCATGAAGACCCAGAAATATTAGGTATTCTGTGGCTTCTGGAATCCTAAGCAATGGGATTCTACTGCCACAAGTAGAATGATGCTCAAAGCAGACATTTTTAGATCACCTGTTATGAGTCAGACATTGTACTAAATTACATGTATGTACACCATCTTACTTAATTTTATAGTGTTTAATAGAGCATAGCTTGTATTACCTCCACTAGTCTAAGATAGTTCATGATTTTCCAAGAGAGTGGTATCAGAATTCAAACCCTGGACAATCTTGCCCCAAAGCCATGATTGTCCAGTGCACTGAGGCAGCCTTACAGGGTAATAAGTGGCAGGGAATGAAGCCAGAGATACTGTATCTATTGCTCAGTAGGCTAAATTGCCTCGCTATGAACCAGAGGGCTGCCCCTCTGCCAACCCTGTGTTAACAGTAGAATCTTTTGCAGCAATGACAGAAATCTGATAGAAACTACAGGAAGCATAAAAGGGAATTTGTTGGCTTGTTGAACTCCAGGCTGGCCTCAGGCACAGCTAAATCCAGGGATTAAAATGGTATCACATAAGGGTCTCCCTGGTGGCACAGGGGGTTAAGTCTCAACACTATGAGCCTATCAGCAGCCATTGCAGAATAAGTTTGATCCCCTATTTCGATCCCCAGCCAGGGAGGTGACCCAGACCTCTCCTGTCTCTCTCACTGTTCCCCTCAGCAGTGTACTTCATCAATTTGCCTATTCTGCTCCCTACTCTGTCTTTGGTGAATCTGCTCACACACACACCCCACCCTGCACCTCTGGCCTACATGCTCTTGTATGCAAAAATAAATAAAAATAAATCTTTAAAAAAAAAAAAACCATGATATCACATAAACTCAATCTCTGTCCCTTTCTCCATCTTGCTTGACTTTTTGTTGACACATTTTCCTATCAAAGTGGCAAGATGAATCTCAGCAATCCTAGGCTTACCTATTACATTTCCCAGCAGTTTTAACAGGTTTGGGGTTTGAGACTCACGGGCTTTTCTGGGTGAAGCAATCATTGCTGCAGATGGGGTACATTAGAATTACCCCCACTTTGGAGATCCAGGCATGGGTCTACTACCCAACTCTGGGAAGGAGACTGTGGTCAGCCTTGTGGGAAGCAAGTGACTTAAACATATGGGAAGAGTGATTTCCCAGAGAAAGCTTGGAATATTGTTAACAAAAGATGAAGAAATTGGAACCTGCTCAGGTAGGGAGTCCTGTGTACTATCTCAGCTCCCCCTACAGGCTTAGCAGGTCTTGGACAGCCACTTTTTGTCCCTAAAAGGGACCACTCTGAACCCTGAATCTATTGTAGCCTTTTGTAATGCCGGCCTTAGATGATCAGTGTTGAGAGTAAAGGATTGAAATGTTCCCTCTGGGGTTGAGTCCTTAAACTTCTCACCACAGATCATCCCAGCTCACTAACTTGGTCCAGCATCTTGTCTCCTCACCCTCCAAAGCTAGTTTAAGCATGAATGCCACAGCAACCTGCTGATGAGAAAGCAGAGGCTGCAGGACTTGAGAGAGGGAGGCCAGGTGGCCATAATGCAAATTCTGGTGTTTGTATGCCAAGCTTTGTCGCTTGGGCATTTCTGGGGAATGAGTCTAGCAGTTTTCATCAGGTTCTCCAAAGGCTGGATGACCCAATGTTTAAGAAGCACTGGCACAGAGAAATTTCACTAGAAAGTACATCCAGGAAAGCATCAATCACCGCTCCTTGTCCCCTGTGTACCAGAGCTGCTGCCAGACCCGCCATACCACTCTCTATCCTCAAAGCAGCCAGAGCCACGAATATCTCCCAGAGCCAGTCTTGATGGGTTGCTAAATATGGGAATATGGGATTTAAAAGATCCCTGCTAAAAGATGGGCATGGGAAATGAGCAAAACTGGAATGCTGACTACATAACCTGGAGTATTTGTCTCCAACAATGTTTTAATAAACTAAAGCTTGGCCGCATAGTATGCAGATAAGTTTGGGAGCCCAGAGACCCGGACTCTTGGCCACCATTGGCCATGTTTATGATTGCAGCCTTAGGGGACATCTCTTGGGATGTCTGTCCAGTAGGGTCAGCCACAAGGATTTTATTCTGGTGGGCACATGGGGTAGGCTGAGGCAAAGATGAGATAGATGAAAGCACTTGGCAAAGGCTAAATCCTAAAGGATCACATCATGACTACTACTAGATACTTGTAGCAGCACTGGCGGTTACCCTGAAAATCTCAATTTGGGCCAAAGGTAATATGATACCTGGTGTTCATATGACCCCAGACAATGTGTAGAGTGCTTCACTGGTGTATTCTCATTTGGTTCTCATTGCTCACTCTAATTTTTCTTAATCTCCACCCAATATATGAAGGTAGTGAGTCTCAAAGAAGCTAAGGGATAGGAATCCCAACTCCTTTAAATATTTATTAAGTGCCTGCAGTATACCATGCAAGAAGCTTGTGATAGCATAATGCTTTTTTTTTTTTTTAACTTAAAGATTTGTGTATGCATATAATAGCTGGGGTACCCGCCAGAGGTACAGGGCAGGTGGTATGAGAGGGTTCACCAGAGACAGTGAGGGGAGCAGAGTAGGCAGATCTACTGAAATGCACTGCTAAGCGGAGCAGTGGGTGAGACAAAAGAGGTCTGCTGTACCATGTGGGTCAGCTCCCTAGCCAGGGGTCAAACTCATGCTGCATTGGCTGCTGCTAACTTTATAGTGCTGAGACTTAACCCCTTATGCCACCAGGGAGACCCAGCAAATGCTTTCTTAAGAAAACTTTCCTTCCATTAAGTAGGCCAGAGCCAAGACTGCAAATTAAGGCTTCTGAACCCAGATCCACAGTTGTTAACGCTCTGACTCCTCCCACACTGCCATCCTCTGAGCTGACAGTGCATGGTTAACAGTTAACTATGTATTGGATTGTTGGGAAAGTCAATGACAACTTAATGGTATTTGCTGTCTTCTGTGTTCTAAAGACATTGTAGTTCATTCTCCAACAATTCTGCCAGGGGGTTTGCTCAACATTAGGCACCGAATCAGTCGTCCAACCAGGTGATGACAGTAACTGCAGAAACATCTACTGAGTGTTTACTATGTGCCAAATACTGTGCTTTCAAATTCTATGAGTTATGTCATAGAATATTCAAGCACAGCTCCATGACCCCTTAAGGAGCTTTTGTTAATTTCCAGCCAAAAAAAAAAAAATGAAGTGACATGGCCAAGGTCACATTAGTTGTCTTTATTAAAAGACTCTAGCCTGGTGACCAATCCAGCTCTGCTACGAAGCTTTGTGTCCCTCAAGGCAAGGTCACTGCCTTGTTTCTCTTTTTCACAGCCCACTCATTGTTGGCACATGGTAGGCATTGCGTGTGCTTGGTACATAATAATGTGTTCCCTGACATGCCATGCCGATCCAGAGGAAGACAGGAACTACCAAAGATGGCACTGACATTTCATGGTTCCTTGGACTTCGTATCCTTGGAAACAGACTGGAACCCCGCTCCCGTAATGCCTTTGGGCACACCAGTCATGTGCACTTCTCCGCCCTCAGGATCGCCAACCTGAAGATCCAGCTGGCCAAGCTGGATAGTGAGGCCTGGCCAGGAGTGCTGGATTCGGAGAGGGACCGACTGATCCTCATCAACGAGAAGGAGGAGCTGCTGAAGGAGATGCGCTTCATCAGCCCCCGAAAGTGGACTCAGGGGGAGGTGGAGCAGCTGGAGATGGCCCGGAAGCGCCTGGAGAAGGACCTGCAGACGGCCCGGGATACCCAGAGCAAGGCGCTGACTGAGAGGTGGGTGGGCAGGGCTGGCGAAGTGGCGGGGCCCCTCCGTTTAGAGACCTAAGAACTTTCTCATGTAGCAGGTGGGGGGGCGTGTCTCATGTAGCAGATGGGGGGGCGTGATCTACCATCCATCTCCCCAGTTCTTCACACAATGTATCCCATAACCAGAACATCTGCTCAGAATTCAGGAATGCTTTTCTGACTAAGGAAAACTTTTCCACTGAAGTCTAGTTTCGAGCATTTGGTCTGCAGCTTTACCCAAGTGTTTCCCCGAGCAGTGCATACTCTCGGTGTATAATATTTTCTCTCATACATTCATTTATTCTCCTGCTGGTCATGACCCACCCAATGGGTCTGCACACCTGCTAAGGAGTTGCTATTTGCAGGTTGCAAAGTACCGCTTTAGATGGGCATTGCAAGCTGAGATGCTTACTGGGCCACGCAGGTGAAATACTAACTAGAGGCCTGCATGGCAGTGGACAGTGGCAGACTGGAACTCCTGGACCCTGCTTGTCAAAAGCAGCTCTGCCACCCACCTTCGGTGGGACTGAGGCTGTAGCTGCCTGAGCTCCATGTCTCAGAAAAAAAGTTGTTTGGCTATTTAATTTTTAAATATTGGCAACTAATCCACATTAAAAACAACAACACTGTGAAAGCTAGCAGAGCTTCTTCTGCCCACTTGATAAGCCTGAAAAGCACTGACTTATTTTCTGTAGTTTAGAACTTTTAACATCCTTTATTTTCTTAGGGGGCCCACCAATCTCCACGTCCACACATTGCACAGAGTACTGGCCTCTGTTCACAGTAGGGCCTCCAACCACAGCTTCCCATTCATTCATTCACTTAGTCCACCAGCCAGTCATCGATCCAGTCATTCAGTCCATCAACTGTGCATATTCTGTGTGCAATGCAGTTTGGAAGAGCCAGCAATTATTAAGGCATATTCCCTCCCCCCATACCCTTAACATGAGTTATTTCCACATTATTTTGACAACATACTTTATTGAGCAATACCTACCCATATGGAGCTTAGAAATAGTGATAGTGATTTGTGTGTGGTGTATGCACGTCTGGGGGCTGAAGCAAGCAAGTGTATTCCTCCCTTCATGAAAGCAGAAGCCAAAGCCCAGTTTGCAAAACAGGTAAACTTGACTGCATTCCAGTGGAAACAGATGGGAATTTAGGTGCCTGGATGTGGTCTTCCTGTGTCACCCTATGATGGGGTCATAAAATGCCTTCTGGAACCTTCTGAGCTCTAGGATACCCAGCAGCAATACAACCCAGGCGACCGAGTGCATACCATTCACATAGGGCAGAATACCAAATGGATGAAGTTGAACAGCCTCTGCCTGGCTCTTGTGAGCACATCGCCGAGTCCATTGACTGGTGGATAGTGGGGAATCTCCCCGCCAAGCCCTTCAGCAGACCTCTCCCACGGAGTGTCACTTTCCTCTCTTCCATCCTCCCCGTGCAGGGATAACTAATTAGCTATTAGTTATCAAGCAGGTGGAAGGAGAAAAGGGAAAGAACTGCCACATAGGAGCTTTGTATCCCCTGGACGACCTGCCAGGTCTCTTCTTTAAGGCCTCACCAAGACTGTCTCACCCTCCCTTGGGCTGTGCACCTTTGGGACCAGGCTTGTATGTTTGTGCCCTATTGTGGTTAGTGCCCGTTTAAAGGAAAATTTGGCAGCTGGCCCCAGTAGCTTCCCAGACCTCTGTGTGCCTCTCCTGGCTGGCCTCCGTCTCTCACTTGTTCCCAGCCCAATAGCTGCCCTAAGTCCATAACTTGGTCAAGCTTAAAGCCAGCTGAAGAGAACAGATTCGTGACTGCTTTTACTCTGTGCAGTCAGGAGAGACTCTTGTCCCTGCTGACCTTGAACCAGGCCATTAACCAAAATATTCAATATGGGAAAATGGGTAATTTTCTCCATATCTACCTAGTTAAGAACCAGGCCATTAACCAAAATATCCAATATGGGAAGATGGGTAATTTCCTCCATATCTACCTAGTCAAAAGACAGGTGGCCAGGCCAGATTGTGAATTGAGGCGCTTCTCTGCTATACTTATGGTTTCTGGAAACTGGGGTGGGATGTTCTTCTAGACACCCCTGTGGTAGACTCCATGCAAAAGCTACTCTTATTTGCCAGACCCCGAAACCTGTATCATATCTCATTTAAATCTCCCAGTCAAGCTAGGGTTAATTTTTATTACTGCCTCTACCCCATCTTTTAAAAGTCTCATTGCTTCCCCAGACAGCAAGTTCACACGCCCAGCCCAGGGAAGCCAGAATCCCCATCCTCAGCGGCTTCTGAGCAGGCAGCTCTGAGGACCCAGGAGGTGCTGGGGGCCAAGGACAGGAAGAGACGTGAGGTTCAGTGGCAGGACCAGGCAGACGGGTGCTGATGCGAGGAGGCTCTGAGAGGAAGCCCAGCAGCAGTGTCAGTGCCTCCAGCTGAGTGCCCCGTGCCTTGGGTTCCAGGTCTTTTGACTCTCATGCTCCCCACGCCTCTCTTTCCTGTCTCTCTCAAAATAGGATTATTATACTTCTCACCGTCACACAACAGCCTCTCCTTGAGGAAGGACTGGACACCTCCAGAAAGGCCTGCCAAACCCAAACCCAGTCACAACTGATGGGCACACAGACAGCCGGACTACCCTCTTCCCTTTCTATTCCCTGCTGCCCTCCCCACGCCCTGGGGACCCTCCTCACTGTGACATGATAGGATATGCTGAACCGGGAACCCCAGCCACTGTAATACAGGATTAAAATGCCACACACAAACAGCAGAAAGCAAGCCTAAGGAAGTATATTTATAGGCATAGGGTTAAGGGGACAGGCTCTCTTACCAGAAGCGAGCAGGACTGAGACTTATGCAAGGACCAATAGGAAGCTCCTGTGCACACAGGAGGGGTTGCCACTGGCCACCACCCAGTCAACTTCAGGGATTTTATAGTTCTGCTCATGTTTTGGGTCTAGAGAATGAGCTGTGGTGATCATGCAGTTTCTTAATTGGTCAACCTTGGTCAATCTCCTAACGTAAATTAACAGTTGATAGTGTCATGGGCTTTTTTTCTTGTTACTGACTTTTCTCTCTTGTTTGGTCTCCCTGGGGTGGGAGGGGGAGGGTCCCATGTCTCCCAGAGTCCCAGTTCTTATCCCTCCTGTTATGTCTCCCGGGGCCCCAGTACCCTTTCTATTAAGGTCTAACCCCTCAGCACCACTTCTGAACCTGCTCTGCAGTCCTGCTTCATGGTGCCTAAGCTTCTTCTGGCTGCAACCCAGAGACCAGTTTCCCAGGCTGAAATGCAGTCCAGGTTTTTGCATTTTTAATAGGTTCCCCAGGTGCTGAGCTGCAGCTCATGGGGAATCCAGGCCCCCCTCTGGATCCCCTGCCTGCTTCCATGCTTGAGGTGTTCCTGCCCCCCCCCCCAGCACATGCCAGGCATCTCCCACACATATGCCATATGGCCTGCTCCACCCCCACCTCCAGGAGGTTACCTCAGCTTCTGCTTGTCACTGCCAGTGGTCACACCCTTGTGCTCCAGAGTCACGGCAGCCCGGCTCTCAGTTCTCTCAGCATCCTACTGGGATTTCAGTGAAGACCTGCATTTACTCCCAGAAAATGCCTCTGTGGGTTTCTCTCAGAGGAGAACAAAATCAAGGTAGAAATGGTGAACCCCAGATGCTTTGTGACCTCACACCTTTTCAGACGTTGCTTCAGCCAGAGTTCTAGAAATTCTACCATCTTGTCCTTTCTATTGAGAGTCAAGGATTTTGTTCATACAGCCTCCATCTGCCAGCCTGCTGCCCATCCTGCCAGCCCCAGGTGGACTCTGCAAGCACAGTGCCAGGGGTTGAGCTGGCTAAGAACCATGCCCAGCCTCCTCTGTTCCCCGTCTTTCCTAATTTCACGCATCTATTGCCCTGTCCCAGGCCCTCCTGCCCCTCATCACATTTCCCTAGTGCTGGAGCCAGCTCTGCTCCACATTGCAGGGCCTGTGGTGGGGCTCCCTGGTGTGTTAATGGGAAGATGGCATGGTGAGGATTTCACATAGAAGTAAACTCCTCTCCTCAGGCCCTGCCAGCAGACTGGGTTGCCTTGTGCTCTGGGTTGAGCACAAGGCAGTTGAGGCAGAACACATCTGCCCCTGAGTAATTTGATATCCAAATCTTCCAGCTGAATGAACTTTGAACTTTGCCTACTTGAACTGGGAGAAAGTCACTGCTTCACACATGCTTATTGGGCATATCATGGGTTAGTGAAGGTAGAAATGGTGCTGCTCCTTGACCCCACACTTCACACCTTTTCAGACTTTGCTTCATGGGAAGATCTTGAAATTCCACCATCCTTTCCTTTCTATTGAGAAGGAAGAATTTGCTCATTACAAGCTCCACCTGCTGGCCCGCTACCCATCCTGCCATCCACATGCAGGCAGGGTGAGGTCCGGCTCTCCAGACAGTGCAGCGCCTATGAACCTTGGTGTGACCAAAACTTTCTAGGATATTCCATAAAGATGCAGAATCCTGGTCGCTGCTCCCAGGTCCTCTGAGTCAGACCCAGGAATGTGCACTGAGTGAGTCCTGTGCCCTGTCTGTGGGCCACACACCAAGTAGCATGAATATCATGGATGTGGTTGTGAGGACACGGGCTTGTTTGAGGGGCCTGGGAGCAGGCTGACTCCAGAACTGTGAGGGAGCCAGTCTGGGCAGTCACTCTTTCCCCCGTTGACCTGAGCCATTCTCTAGGGGGGATTTCACAAGAGGGTGGGACAGCAGGGAGATGGGCCGCTATTCAGCCCTCCTTTCCAAACCCACGTGTCTTGCCACTAAGGAGATGGTTCCTGAATTGGGCGTTGGGGTCAGGCTTATCTGGTTGCAGGTTTTTGCTGCCAGCTTCTATGACATCCATCACACTCACACCTCTTGCTCTCTGGCTTCATTCATATATTCAGAACTGGATCCTGGGTCCTCCCCTTTTCTCCCCAGTCTGTTTCACCCTAAGATAGTGAATTTGTTTCTTAGGCCTGCCAGAGTACTGCAAACCAGGTAACTTAAACAGGAGTTTATTTTCTGTGCACCTGCCTGTCTATACTACATCTCTTCACTAAGGTTCTTTTCTACCATCCTGTACTTTTTATTCATGGACCTTGTTACACAGGTGTTAATTTGATAGTTGAGTATTTCCTTACTATGAGTCTCCACACCCTTCCCAGTAGAATGTAAGCTACAAAGAAGCATAAGCAGGTTCTGTTTTTCTCATGGCTTCATCCACAGTGTCAAGGACAAGGCCTGGTATGGTAGGCTGTTAGTAATTCCTGCTGTGTGAGTGGGTGAATGGATTCAAGAACTGACAGGGAGGAGAATGGGGATGGAGGAAAGGAAGGAAGGAGGGTGGGATAGAATCCTACTTTTGCCACTAATACTCTCTCTTTAAATAAATTAAGAGCGTCAATTTCCTTGTATATAAGTGATAAAAAGTCATTCTTACCATGCAGAGTTATCAAGTCAAAACAAGTGTTCATATCGTAATACCCAACCTACAATAGATGATGGACATGACAATTACAGACGGATTATCTGGGAGGCCACATGTCATCGGCATTGTTGTGAAATGTTTCCAGAAAGTTCCTTTGTATATAAATGTGGGGGTGGAGGGCACATGGTGGGGGATCTATATGTCCATTTCCACAATTACATGCCTTTGACTCCTCTTTTGGGGAGATGGAACCTCGATTCCTTGGGGCTCTCCCTTCATGCCCTCTCTCTCCTTTCAGGTTAAAGTTGAATAGTAAGAGGAACCAGCTGGTGAGAGAACTAGAGGAAGCCACCCGGCAGGTGGCCGCTCTACACTCCCAGTTGAAGAGGTAAGTGGTGGGCAGTGCATAGGTGCTCCCTGGGGTGGCCAGTGCAGGTGTCCCCGGGGAGCCAACCCAGACTCGCCCTTCATGCTTCATCTGTGGCACAAATGTGGACCTTCAGATGCACAGCGGCCAGGCGACTGGTTAGTCTAGCAGACTTGGCCTTGTCCTCACATGGCCACAGGAAGGCTCCTGCACCTCTTCAGCCCCCTCCATCCTCAGTCTTCTAACAGCATGGGGGTGATGGAGGGAGTGGAAAGAGTGGGAAGGAAGGCCCAACCAGGTGTTCATATGTCTTCAAGCCTGCCAACCCACTTTTCTAGCACAGAAAGAATAGACCTTGGGTTTGGACCTGGGTGAGTGACAGTGACATGGCTAGAATTTAGTGGCATTTTGTTTTCATCAGCCATTCTTCACAGTTGCCTTTTATTTCTAATCCGTGATGCTGTTTTCCAAATGACGCTTAGGATATTAAGTCTCCTTTTCAATGAATGTATTAAAACATGAAGAAAAAAAGTGAGTTGATTTGAAGAGAAAACATGAAAGAATATTATTTTAGATTGGACTCAAATATGGGAAAACATCACAGAAGGGCAAGGGAGATGCTGCAAGTTTGAAAAACAGAGCTGTGGAGGGCAAAGTCAACTTTATGACAGCTGACTTGGGTTGGAATCCAAGCCCTGCCACTGTCTCATTGTGTGAGGTCCTCAGAGTGTCCTCTTCAGTGAAATGGGATGCATGATCCACTCAGGAGAATGCCAGGACGGTCCCTCAAAGTGCCCATGTGCAGTTCTCAGCCCATGTGCTGTCAGGAAGTCCCAGGTGCCTGCTTCACTCTGCCCCCTCCTTCTCTCCCTTCCCCAGCCTCTCCAGCAGCATGCAGTCCCTGTCCTCGGGTAGCAGCCCCGGGTCCCTCACATCCAGCCGGGGCTCTCTGGCCGCCTCCAGCATAGACTCCTCCAACTCGGCCAGCTTCACAGACCTCTACTATGACCCCTTTGAGGCGCTGGACTCGGAGCTGCAGAGCAAGGTGGAGTTTCTGCTCCTGGAGGGGGCCACGGGCTTCCGGCCCTCAGGCTGCATCACTACCATCCACGAGGACGAGGTGGCCAAGACGCAGAAGGCAGAGGGGAGCAGCCGCCTACAGGCCCTGCGCTCTCTGTCTGGCACCCCGAAATCCATGACTTCCCTGTCCCCCCGCTCCTCCCTGTCCTCCCCATCTCCACCCTGCTCCCCTCTCCTCACTGACTCTGTCCTGACCGGAGACACATTCCTGAGCCCTCTGGAGTTTGAAGACCCTGAGCTGAGTGCCACTCTTTGCGAAATGAGCCTTGATAGCGACGCCCAGGAAAGCTACCGACTGGAGGAACCAGGAGCAGAGGACAAGCCGCTGGGCCAAGGTAGACAACAGCACGTGGGGGACGGGGACTGTTCAGGCCTGGGCTCCTGCCTCGTGATAATTATGGCCATTGTGTCGGCGTTTGCTGATTGCTTTCTACTTGCCAGGTCTTCGCTAGCGTACCAGTATACCCATTCATTAGCCACTTATCATGCACTCACTATGTTCCCAGGGCCTGGTCTAAGAGATTTCCTGTGGCAGATTCATTCATTCAAGGTATTTATTAGGTGCTTACTAAGACTAAATATCAGGTCCTGTGCTAATGGGGTTGCATAGATTCATTCATGTTTCGTTCAACAGATGTGCCATGTGCTGGCACGGGTTAGTTACAGGCATAGTCAGGAGGTCCCTATTGGCATGAAGCTCATGTGCAAGTGGAGGCAATAAAAGCCCTGAGAAGAGAATTTAACAGGGATGCAGTAGCGCCTTGGGTGGGGGTGGGGCTGCCAGTTCAGGCTGGGTTATAAAGGGTGCCCACACTTAGTGGAACTTGAGGGAAAAGCCAGAGAAAATCTCTGAGGCTGGAGGTCAGGTGTCACTAGTAAGGCTGGAAAAGCCAGAGTCTGGCCCATGGACTACTTGGTACAGCATGGAAGGAGTTTTATCCTAATTGCAACCCAAACCTTATACCTCTCTGAAGCCAAGGGATGGTGTAATCTGACTCCCTTGACTCAGAGAACATGTACTCAGAGAATATCTGGTGTGGATTGAGAATCAGGTTGGAATTTTCAAGATAGAAGATGATGCTAAGTTTTACTAAGAGAAAAAAGTCTTTTGTTACTGTTTTTAGTGCCAAAACCCAAGGAGAGAAATTTATTTTTAACAACCACCACATCATAAATCACAATAGTTAACATTTATTAGGGTGCATTATACATTGGGGTGACATGTTAGATATGGTGCAATAAGTTACTTCTACTATGCCTATTTCACAGATGAAGAAACTGAGGTTTAGAGAGATGATGTCACTTGCCATGGGTTCCCCAGCCAGCAAAAGAGAAGTATAGGTTGGAATCTGGGTCTTTCTGCTTCCGAAGCCCAACCTCTTTATCCTAAAGTTCCTTTTAAGACACAAAGTCACTCAGTGTGTTAACTCCTGGTGCTGGCAGGACCCATCTCCTTTGATTCACTCTGGCCCTTTGTTCAAATGTCAGGGCTGAGCAGAGTCTTCCTGGCTGTGATTTATCCAGTGCAAGTGTACCAAATGCAGCCACTGTTGTGCTCACTTACTCAGTTAAGCCACAGGTCAACTCTGTGTCTATGTGTTGGGCAAGATGTTGGTGGGGGCGGAGGGGGGAGTGAGTTCTCTTTTCATCTTCATCTTATAGACAGAAAAAGTAAAGCATAACCAGGTTCAATAACACGTTCAAAGTCAGTCCCACTGCTGGGGCATGGTAGTGTCAGAATTAGTACCTGGGCCACCAGCCCAAACCCATGCTCAGACAGGTGCCTATCTTGTCTGTAGGAGGCTCCCATCTTGCTCCCCAAAGATGGGCCAGAGGTAACAGGGCCCATCTCAGCCTTAAGGCTAGGGATGAGCTGGGGGAGAGGGCTGCCTAGAATTTCCTGTTCATGTGCAAGGGCCAATTGAAACAAGGTGGGAAGAAGAGATTTTCTGGAAAATTCAAGTTCTGCTGGGTATATGCCATACATTTCCTTAGAAGAGAAGGCTAGCAATCCCTGGGGCTCCCTCATCAGGAAGGGTGTCTTCCAGAGAGAGCAAACAAAAATAAAAAGTCACTTCCTATGATGACAGCAGGTGAAAGAATTCAGTAAACAGCTCCCTGGAGAGGATGGGGTGCAGGTGGAACCTCTAATGAGCCTCAGGAAGTGGTCCCCGGGCACCCTGTCTGAGGACCACCCAGCTTTCCTTCGCTGACAGCATCCCTGCGCCTTGTGGGTCAGAGACCACCTGTCCCAGGGCAGCACTTTCCTCCTCCCACCTCCCGAAGGCTTCCCCACAAGAGCAGGGCCAGGCAACCCAGACACTAAGCAGGTTATGTGATTAGTGCCGTCGTTCAGCCAGCAGACAAATTAATCTCCTTAAGTGGTTAGTGGAGGGTGGCAGCGCCCGGCAGGGAGGTCTCCCTAACTGGGCCGCAGCTGTGGGACACGGGCTGGGAAGACTGCACCCAGGTGGCTGCTTGACTTCCTTGTCAACAGCACTTGTCTCCCAGGCTAACGCTCACAACCGCTTTTTCCAGCTGGCCCCAGGCCAGGCATTCGGCAGTGCCAGTCAGGGACTGAAGGACCTGAATTGGGCCTCCCTCCGCTCAGACAGGAGGAACTATCTTAGTAGTTCAGTGGCTCTGAACAGTGATGAGTCTGGCACTCTGTTGGCACTCATTCCCTGGGGAAGAAAAGAATGAGCATCCATCTGAGCCCCAGCCAGACTTTCAAGGCCCCCATGAAGGGCAGGGAAGAAGAGGAGCTGAGTTGGGAGTGGGGTGGGAGTAATCTGATGGGCCCATTGACAGCCAGAATCTAAATCCACTCCTTCCCCCCCCCTTGTCCAGCAGAGTGTCCAGGGGCTTGTGTTGATGTCCCAGGGGTGCAGGGACCCATAACATGGTGACAGGAACAGCAGACACAGTGAGGAGAGCAGTCATGGATTTTCCCTTGCTCTAGCTCTACAAAGGAGGTATTATTATCCCCTCTTGCAGATGAAGAATCTAGGGCTTAAGGACCCATGTTCAATGTCCTGCCAGTGAAGCAGTAAGTGGTAGAGCTGAGCTGTGAACTCAAGCAGTTTGATACCTGAGTCTGATGTTAAACACCAAAATCATGTGCCGCTCTTTCCTTCACCCCAAAACAAGGCAGGGTCTTTAAATAGCACTCAGAGTGGTTGAAGTTGGCAGAGCTGTATTAGGATAGAGTGAGTCAAAGTGTGCGTAGCCAAGACATTTCCTGGTTTCTGAACCCCACCTTACCACCCCCCCCATCTTCCTCCAGCTGTGAATGCAACCAAGGGGTGCAGCCTGAAAGTCGCCTGTGTCTCAGCTGCTGTGTCGGATGAATCTGTAGCTGGGGACAGCGGTGTGTATGAGGCTTCCGTGCAGAGGTGAGTCCCAGAGTCCTGAATACCAAAGGGGCCCACGAATGTGTAGGAAAGAGGTCCACAGAGGCCATGGCCAGGCGACCCCACATTCCCCCTGGCAGACCTGTGGCAGTTGCTGCTTCCTGGCTCCTTTCAGACTTGAGAGGGGATTATTCTGATGACTGTCAGGAAGAGGTGGATGGTTGGTGGGTTCATTCTGGAGGAAAGACACCCCCTTCTAAGAGAGACCAGGAGCAATTGTGGAAGGGCAGCCCCCAAGGCGAGGTCCAGCAGATCCAGCGCCCGCCTGAGGATACACCCACACCCTCCCAGAGAGAACCTACATCTTAAACCCGACTTTGACCCCAGAAGGTCGTAGGGAAGTCTGATGTCTTTCCCTTCCCTGTTGCCTTCCAGACTGGGTGCTTCCGAACCTGCTGCTTTTGACAGCGACGACTCAGAAGCAGTGGATGCTACTCGGGTTCAGATTGCCCTAAAGTGAGTGACGGGGCGGGGAGGGCAGGGGAAGCTTGTAGGTCCCTCTCTGGCTGTGTCTCACCTGCACTTACCATCACAGCTACCCAGGCAGGAGGCCGAACTGTTAGGACCTGCTGTCCGTTGTGAGCCCCTAAGTGGGGATCAACTTGGACTACCTCCCAACTGCCTCTCTTTACAAGAGAAAAATGAGACTTGGGAGACCTTCTAATGCTTCCATTCACTGAGCTGATCTGTGGCTTGGGGAGAGGAACCTCTCTCCACTCATCCTTATCATGGCCTTTGCCTTACTGTCCCACCCAGTTTTCCACCATCTAACCCAAGGTTGACCCCTGGGACTGCTGCCCGGCTCTTTTCACTAGTTGTTTTCTATTAATGCCGATGGCCTTGCTGTTATTTAAGTAGGAATGAATTGCCAACATGTGAAACAACAGGAAATTTCACACACATGCCTGGCTTCTCTGAAAATTGAGCCTGCAAGCTCCTAGCTCCCTGCCTGGCATCAGCAAAGGACGTGACCTGTGCTCTGCAGCTCAGCACAGTCCCCAGAACAGCCCACAACCACGTTTGGGATTAGGAAGGAGGAGCGAAGGTGTTAAAACCAGGCCTTTCCTATTCCCCTTTATTTCAGGTATGATGAGAAGAATAAGCAGTTTGCAATCTTAATCATCCAACTCAGTAACCTGTCGGCTCTGTTGCTGCAACAAGACCAGAAAGTGTGAGTATGTTGCTGACAGGGTGTGTTTTCCCTTCTGCCCTGTGTGGGCATCCCTGAGGGACACTCTCCAGCTGCATCCTGCCCTGCGTGCCCCGTGGGTGTTTTTATTCATGTGACTGTGACACACAGCTATGGATGCGGCTACAGCACAATGCAAGCCTGCTCACTGTAGCAACCCTCCTGAGTGCACACCATGTGCCAGCAGTGGGGCTGGGGCGTGGCCACAAACCTCTGGCCTGTGAATTTGAAGGATGTCAGCCCCCTCTAAGTCTAAGTCTAAGCTCAAGTAGTTCATGAAGGAATAGTCAGATCTGCCCTCCCTAAGAGTCTGTGCCCAACACTGGACTTCCATTGGGGGGTGTGATGGTGGTGCCCTAGCAGTGGATAATGCAGCAGGGACCTGAGCCAGCTGCCGTTGGCTTTTCCCAGTGCAGACCAAATCTTTGTGACGTTGTGATCATCTTCCTGCACGTCTACTGTAACTAGACCCAAGGCCTGGAGGGCAGCCAAGGAGCTTCCACTTCTGTGGTCTGCACCCAGCCAGTGTCTGAGGATGCGATGCTGTGGGAGAGAAGAAGGCAGGCAGGACAGCAGGCATGCAGGAGGAAGGCAGGACTGGACCCTTGATGGGAGTGACAAACAGCACCAGGATGAACTGTCCCATAGCTCCTTGGTGCCTGTGTGGTGGGTAGGGAGTGCCTCACCTAAGTTTCCTGGATAAAGGGGTGAGCATGTCTGAAGTTTGGGGACCGTCACACTCCCCTCTGCTGAGATTGTAGTGTTTTGCCTTCCTGCTAGCAATTGTTAGAGGAGTTCTCAGCATTAACAAGCAGCCTTGCAGATCCTGCTGGGCATATTCATTTGCACACTCTTGGTCCCAGGCTCCACATGCTCTGAAATTCTAAGGATCTGGAGGACTCAGGATGTCGGGGAATCTTTGTTCCCCGATCACGGATTTTTGGGGGGCAGAACAGGCAGGGTTTCAAGGTGGGAGTGGCGTCAGAGAGGGGAGATTCCTAAAAGAGAAAAAAGGGGAGTGGGCATGAGGAAGACACGGGAGTCAGATTTGGGTGCAAGTCTTCCCGTTCTGCCTTCAGCAGAAGTTTATTTTATACACTTTAGGCAAGTAATTAACATATAAATGGGCTGAGATGACAATCTTTTCTCTGAAAGCAGTTTGGGGTCCTATAGACTTTCAGTTAAGATTATAACATTATTGATCTATTAAAATTAAGATAAGTCCATAAAATTTAAAGCTAACATTTTTTAGAGATGGTTAAATAAAAATTCCTTTCAATCCAAAATGCTATTCTATGACCTTCATTACTAAGACATCTTAGCGGGTAAAGTCAAGTCAAGGATTAGGGTGGAGATATGAAGGATAGAGTAAGGTTGTGAGCTAGGGTGGAGTGACTCTCTTGTAAGTCAATAACAAAGAGATACAGGAAAGTTCCTCAAAAGCTGAATAGAGGATTTAGGTGAAATAACTTCCTTATTTGAAGTTTAGACAACAGAAAACTTAAGCAGTTCTTTAGAAGGATTATGTGAGATAGTAGAGAGATGGGATGTGGGTTCTCTTCTGGGCAGTAAAAGAATTCTGATTATTCTAGTACTGCCTTGTTTTACAATATTAATTTTGTTATAATTGTTTTTATTAATCAGCCAGTTGTAATATTTTTTATTCCAAGAGGGCTTTCCATCCTGAGGCAGCACTTGCTCACCTGAGCCAGGCAGCACCTTATGAGGCTGAGGCAGTCCAGTAGAAAACTGATGGTTGCTTGGAATATTTTGATTATACTGAAAAAGGGAGGGTCATAACATGAGCTAGTATGGAAATTCTGATTTTTCAGGGCACTTCCCCTCCATCTGGAATATGTCTGATGATAGAGGTTGCTTAGCTGTGTCATCAGGAGAAGGGAGGGCAGTGTGTTGTGTCCTTAGGAGAATGTTCTAGGTCCCTTGCAAATACCTCCATAAAAGTACCAGCTGTTCTCTATTGTTGGCTTGGGGATGTGCACAGCTGGTTGGCACAGCACATCAGCACCACTGCAGGCTGACTGGGCTCCCTGCATTTCTGTCACCCTCTAGGAACATCCGTGTGGCTATCCTTCCCTGCTCCGAGAGCACCACCTGCCTGTTCCGCACCCGGCCCCTGCACGCCTCAGACACCCTCGTGTTCAACGAGGTGTTCTGGGTGTCCATGTCCTATCCCGCCCTTCACCAGAAGACCTTAAGAGTCGATGTCTGTACCACCGACCGGAGCCACCTGGAGGAGTGCCTGGTGAGAATCTGTCTGTCTGTCTGTCCAGCCACCTGGCCTGTGGACATTGGTTCACCTTGTACTTCAGGGATAAAACACAGGCTACAGTCTCCATCAGGCTACTCTTGGGTCCCAGGCAGGGACTCTTCCACTGTGAATAGCAATCTCAGAGTTACCGGGAAATGGGAATGAAGGGAGAACTATAAAATTGACAGCATGTTGTAAATTGCCAGAGCTTAGAATATAAGCTATAGCCTCAACTTTACCACAGTGGTAGAATGTGGGTAAGAAGCAGAGAAAAATGAGAACAAAGAGACAGGAGCTCACATCCCACCTATATCATTCCCTGAATAGCTTGTGACCGACCGTAGGCAAGTTACTTGACCTCTCTGAGCCTCAGTTTTCTCATCCACAAGATGCTATTGAAAATGCCCCCTTAGAGCCTAAGAGTCAACTGTAAGCATTAAGAGAAACTGTTCATGCAAGGTATCTGTCACATGTCTGACACACAGTAGCTCCTTGCTGGATGGGGCCATTATTCCCCTCCCAAGAGCAGAACTCCCCCTCTCCTCTGTACTTTGGCAGGAGATGAAGTGACCCTGGAGACATGTGTATCCTGAGAAAGCCTCAGGTCTCTGCTCTCCACTTAGAGCCAGGGAACCAGCCTCTGCCATCCCTGGGCCTCACTGAGCCAGCAGCCCCAGGTGTTCTCTGAGACTCCTAGGACTCTAAATCCAAGTGTGTTTCCTTATCTGTGAAACCCGGCTCACACTGCCTTGGGCACAGGTGGTTTGCTGAGGATTACAGAAGGTGCTGAGGATTACAGAAGGTGCTGTAGCATGCTTTGCAGACTGTAGCACATCCAAATTACCTGGGCTATGGTGAAAATGCAGGCCCTGGTTTAGCAGCTCTGCACTTCTTTTCTTTTCTTTTTTAAGATTTATTTATTTATTTATGCATACAGAACTGGGGTACAGGCCAGAGGTGCAGGGGCAGTGAAAGGATTCACCAGAGACAGAGTTGGGAGCAGAACAGACCAACTGACAAGTACACTGCTGAGGGGAGCAGCGGGCGGGTCAGGAGAGGTCTGCCACGCCATGTGGTCACCTCCGGGGCAGGTGGGGATCGAACTCATGCTGAAGTGGCTTTAGCTTCTTAGTGCTGTGCTTAACCTGCTGTACCACTAGGGAGGGCCCAGTTCTGCATTTCTTACACTGCTTCAGGTAGCAGTGACGCTACTGGTCCTGGACCACACATTGGGTAGATAGCTGAAAATCATCCGAGTGTGTGTACACACGTGGTTCTCACTGGATCTCAGTTGTCATCTCTTTCCTTCGCAGCCAGAGCACAGAACAGCCTCACTGTCATTTGCGGTGGGGTTATAATTACTGACAAGAATGTAACAGTGTCCCTTGCAGTTTGTGTGGTGAGCACTGAGCTGAGCGCCTGACCTTCATTGCTGCTATTGCTTCTCCACACAGCCTGATAAGCTAGGTAGTATTAGGCCAGTGATGAAACTGAGTCACCAGGAAGTGAAAGAGCTTCCCCAGGTCACATTGTCTGGAAGTGGCAGGAGCAGTCCCGGCAGCCAGGTGAGCCTGTCTGCCCAAGCCTTGGCATTTCCTCTGTGCCAGCACTCCCTGGAGCCTGCCAGCAGGAATGGTGATGTGAGGGCTGGTCCAACGCAGGGCACTCTGAACCTCACAGAAGAATGCTTTTCCATACCCGGCTCCTGCGGCAAGGCTACACCTCAGCCCTTGGCATTCCTGAGCTAGAAAAGACCCAATCCTATTTTTTTCTCCTAATTGGATGCCTTTTATTCCTCCTTCCTAATTGAAGCCTGGTCCTCACTGGTTGCCATGGAAGCAGCCAAAGCGCTCATCCCCTGTGGCTTGTCTCCACCGTGACCAATGGGTAACCTCCTTTCCCGTTTCCTGTGGGGATGTGCAGTGTCAGACTGTCATGTTTGGGTGACTAGAGGAGGCGAGGGAATGAGAGATGGGGAGCAAGGGCTGTCTGCTCCCACATGCCGGACCCTCCCCACAGCGCTGTTTTGAGCCATGTAATCAGAGGCAACAAGAGGACCTTGCCCAGACTGTCTGTGTGTCTGATATGGGGCTGAGAACACTGCATGCAGTATCTCACTCAGTCCTAACAGCAGCCTAAGAAGAAGTGTTAGGATAAACCCGCATTTGACAGATCCAGGGCTAGAGAGGCTAAATAACTTTCCTAGGCCATCCAGGGAGGAAGCAGATGCCTATATCTGAACAGATTCCAGCTTGTTTATATGTGGCCATTGCATGCTCCTGGTTGCTGTCCCCAGACCTGGGCCAGGCTTGGAGGGATAGATGGCTGCTCTTCCAAATACCACTGGCAGGAATTCCACCAAATGCTTTTGTGTGCCACAGTAGGTCACAGGCTTTCCAGTGAGGCCCTAGTACCCACTCCCGGCTTCTAAGCTCCTGCCACTCAGCGTGGGTTCCATTAAGCAGCTCACTTCAAGTCCCTCCTGTCCTATGGCTAACCCTCCCACAGCTACCTTGTCCACTTCTCACCTGGCACACCCCCAGCTCTGTCCAAGTAAACTGAGAAAAGCATGCAACAGGGTCTCAGTTGTAAATCATGGTCACAGAGCTGCCCAGATCTGATACTGCAGCACCCTAGACCAGTTCCTCTGCTGCTCATCCCAGTGATGGCTTAGTGGTTCCTTCTCAAACCTCCAGTGGCTCTTCCCCGAGCTTTGGCCTCACCTCAGTGAGAGAATGGGGACCAGAGATTGGACCCCCAGCCCCATTCCACATCTAGTTCTTCTTGTAGGCTCTGCAGCATCTCCTGGTTCTGATGGTGGCCCTTCCCCACACCTCCCCACAGGCCATCCTCACCAGTACATCACAACACTCTCCTCTCTCTTCAGTTTTCCTTCCATCCCTGGATCTGGCCTGTCAGTGTACCAATATGCCATTTTTTCTTCCAGGCTTTGAAAAAATAAAAACTAAGCTTTTTTGGTGGAGGAGGAGGGCACTTCTACCTCCAGCTACTACATTGTTTATTTGCTGTTCTTTACAGCAAAACATGAAAGAGGTGTTCCTGTTCTCTGTGATCCAGCCCATACCGGCTTTTATCTCGCCCATTTGCCATGAAGGTGTTCATTGTAGTCTCAGTGGTCTGCTGTGCTGACCTGGTGGCCAGTTCTCCATCGTCATCCTCTCAGCCTGTCAGCTGCATTTGGCTCAGATGCTCACTCCTTCTCCTCAGCATCCTCTGTCATGACTTGGGTTCCTGGATGCCTCACCCTCCTCAGCATCCTTCTTACCTCACTAGCCCTTCTCTTGGTCTCCTTGCTGCTTCTCCTCCAAGTCCCTGGCCTCTGTCTGGAAGACCCCAGGGCTCAACCCCCTCTTGCCTTTTCTTTTTGCCTTGGCTCCATTGGTGACCTTATCCTGTCTCCCAGCTGCAGACACCTCCCCTTGATTGACTGCAGCCTGGTCCTTCCTGTCTGTCTTTACATTGTCTGTCCATGGCTTAGTCCCTGTCTTCTTTTGCACGTGCAGTAGAATTTCAGATGAACTTGTCCACAAGCACACCCTGATCTTTCCTCCTGCATCTTCACGGTCTGAGCGGGTAGCAGCCCACTCTCACTGCCCAGGCGAGGAGACCATAGTCACCCTTGACTTGTCGCCTTCTCGTACCCACATCCAGTGCTTTAGAAACTTCTGGCAGCTCCACCTGCAAAAGGTCCCACATTCCCACTGCTTCTCATGGCTCTCCTGGCACCAACCAGTGTCATCTCTCACCTGGATTATTATGGCTTATCACTGGTTCTCCCCGTTCTATGCTCACCTCCTTTCTCTTTTGAGCAGAGCAGCCTCAGTGAGCCTATTAAATTGCAAATAAATGCTTGCCACTCCTCTGCTTGAAAGCTTTTGAGGACTTGTGTCTCCATTAAGAGTCAACTCCCTGGTGGCACAACGAGTTAGAATGAATTACTGCAAGCTGGCCACAGCCACTCAAGTGCAAGTTCGATCCCCAACCCCGGAGGTGACCTCTCCTGACCCGCCCCCTGCTCCCCTCAGCACTGTACTTCTTCAATCTGCCTGTTCTGCTCCCCACTTGTCTCTGGTGAATCCTCTCACCACCCCTGCACCTCTGGCCTGTACATCAGTTCTGTATGCATAAATAAACAAATCTTTAAAAAAAAAAAAGTCAGCTTCTGGGCCCTTTGTCTGGCCTCCAAGGTCCTCTGGCATCTGCTCCTGTTATCTCTTTAATTTCACCCCTAAGATTTTCTCCAGCCCTCTTGCACCCCCTCAAATACACCAACACATTCCCCTACTCCAGGCTTTGCACTTGCTGGCCCTTTGGCTTTGCACTTGCTATCCACTGATGGGCCTTCTCTCCTCCCAGGCCTTCATGCACAAGGGCTGCCCCCTCACCAACTGGCTTCACCCAATAGCACCCCGATGAGGTCCTTCTTACTCTATTCAAAGTCGCACTTATCTCCCATCCCCTGGCCCCTTCCTCTCCTGTACCTTGTATTACTTTTCTCAGCAGCACTTTTCTGTCACCGAACATTTCACTGTGCCGCAGATCTTAGGGTTCATATTGTTTTCACATTTATCATCTCTCAGGTCAAAATGCAGTTTATAATGGATGGCAGATCATAGTTTCCTTGGCAACTTTTTCTTGGTGTTGCATAAACTAATAATAGACTTTATAATTGATGGCATCTTTTCCTTCCAATTGTATTGATTTGTGAATTGTTTTATGTAATGATACAATTTTTTTTTAAATAACAGTTTATTTTTACATCATTTTGTACATTTTTTTTTCCATCTCAATTGTAATCCCCTCGGGTTTCCCATCACCATGTCACCCGTGTACCATCACCAAAATCCCGTGCACTTCCCTCCCTCCCCCCCGCCTTGATCCCATTCCCCACTCCACCCCCACAAAATGTCTCTGTTTTATATGGTTGTTCATTATTTTTGTATGTAATGATACAATTTAAGGAGTACGGTATCACTTCTCCATAGGTGCATATGCACACACCAAGGCTCCACTGCCGGTACCCTGACACTTTCCCTTCCCACCCTCTCTGGAAGCCAGTGTATTTTCAGAGTCTCGGGGTTATTTTCTGGTGTTTTGCCAGTTTGTTTTCTTTGGTTTTTCTTTAACTGAATGAAACCATTTCATATTCTGAGTTATTTCACTTAGCATAACTACCTTGAGATCCATCCATTTTGTTCCAAGAGGCACAGTTTTATCATTTTTAATAGCTGAATAATATTCCACCAGACAAAGACACTGCAATTTCTCTATCCAGTTGTCTGTCAGCGGGCATTTAGGGAGGCCCCATATCTTGATTATTGTAAGTAATGTGAACATAGGAGCACAGAAATCCTTTATATTAGTATTCTTGGTCTTTGGTAAAATATCTAAAAGTGGTATTGCTGGATCACATGGCATTTCTGTTTTTAGTTTATTAAAGAATCTTCATACCATTTTCCTTTGAGGCTGCACCTACTTACATTTCCATCAACAGTAGGTTGAAAGTTCCTTTTTCTCTATGTCCTATCACTGTTTTGTTTCTTGTTTCCTGTCCTTTTGATGTAAAGCATTCTCACAGGAATGAGGTGATCTCTCATTGTGGTTTTGAATTGCATGTCTCTGAGGATAAGTGACATTGAGCATTTTTTCATGTGCCTGTGGATCATCCGTATGTCTTCTTTGGAGCATTGTCTATTTAGGTCTTTTACCCAAATTTTTTAATGGATTGTTTGCCTTTTTCTTGTTGAGTTGAATGAGTACTATACTATATATATATATTTCTAATTAACCCCTCATAGACATATAATATGCAAATATCTTCTTCTAGCCCATAAGTTTGATCATATTATAGACTCAATAAAACACAATATAGGGTTTATGTATTGATTTGTTTATCTGATTCCCTGAGACTCAAAGCTCACAAAGGTGGAGATTTTTATCTGCCTTAAATCCTGCTGTACTCCCAGCACCCAGAAGAATGCCTGGCACATAGAAGCTATGCATTTCGGTGCTGGATGAATGAAAATATGAATAAATGCCTTAGGACCCACCTGATTTACTGGGAATAACCATAGTCACATCTATGAGTCACCCAAACAGGTGGTATACTCTTGTTGGAATTAATATTAATCTGATGACAGCTTCCTGACTCTAAGCCATGACCATATTCAGTCTCTCTTGCCCCTCAAATGTGGTCCGGCACCCTCTAAACTGTTATATCTTAAGGTATTTATCTGTCTGCCAGAAGCCTGTGAGCTCTTTGAGGACACAATCATGCCTTACATGTTTCTGTGGCTCAGAGTCTGTAAAGTGCTCAGCAGAGGCATTAAATGACTAATAAGTAATGTATACACATTCTGTATACATTTATTCTCGTGGTCCCAAATGTGTCAGGCATTGAATACCTGCATGGATTCTAGCCCTGCCAGCAGCTCTGCAGATGGGAGGCATTTTTCCATTTTCCTGGTGAGAAAGCTGGTGCTGAGTACATCCAGTGTCAGCACGTTTGTTTTCCTCACGTCCTGCTAGAAGTTACCAACAGCACATGACAGCTTCCCCTATGCTAGGCCTGCGGTCTATCCTGTAGGAGGGCAAGCTGGCAGGCAGGATCCCAGTAGGCGGGGAGACCCTCTGTTGTTCCAGGTGCCATCCTGAGCCTTGGCTCTGGGTTTTGACTCCTGATCCACTTCCATGCCACCTGTGGTATGTCTGCCACCGACTTTGCTATGAGCCAGGAGTGAAGAAGCTAAACCCCAAATCTGGTCAGAGCTCTTCAAAAAGAATCATTGAAGCAAGGAGAACTCTGAAAATGATGGAAATTATTTGGTGGCTCTTTTCATTAAAGATGTACAGTAAAACAATAAATAAATCTTGGACTAAATCTTCTCTTTGTAATTCTATATTTAGTTAGGTTAACTAGTTACAGTTCGTTTTCATCTAAAGAGATCCATTTACATGATTCAAATAAAACCTGTGCAGAGATTACTAAAGAGAAATCTTGCTCCTTCCACCCCTGCCATCCTTTGCTGCACCTGTAACCCTTTGATTAGTTCATCTTTATATTTCTTTTTGTACATAAAATCATGCGATCATGCTCATTACCTTTGCGCTCAAATATTGTGTAATGTGCATACATGTGCATGCATGTATGTGTGTGTACACATGTGCGAATAATGTGTGTATTATTATCCTCCATTTCTTGGAAAGAAATAGATAACATGTTGTATATTCCATTCAACACTATGCTCTTTTCGCTCTTACCGATAAAGTGTGGAGCTCTGTCATCTGTACCTGGAGATCACCCTCATTTTTTTGGTCTGAGCTATATAATATTCCATTGTATATATGGTTTATTCATCCAGTCCCCTGTTGCCGGGGCTTTGACTTGTTCAAAACTCTTTTACAATTTAGAAGGGGGCCAGAATGAAGCTCTTGTTCATAGGATGTTCTGTACTTGGGTTGGTGTATCTGTGGGACAGACACATCCAAGTAGGATCACTGAGGCAAAGGGTAAAATGCAATCCTAATTTTGCTAGATATTGCCAGGCTCCTTCCATCAAGTTTCTGCTGTGTTACTTTTCTACCAACAAGGTGAGAGAGAACTTTATAGCCTGACTGATAACATCTGATGCCCATTTCTTAGATTTTGCAGTTTAGTTGAAAAGAAGTGATAGTGTGTTCCCCTTCACTTATAAGTAGTAACTTACTCAGTAGCTGAGTTTCTAGGGAGTCTTAGCCCCAAGAACAAGCAAACCATCATTTATCCCTAGTCCCCAAATCATAACCTCGGGATCAGTATAATCAACCTAGGATATGTCAAATATACAATAAAACAAATCATACATCCTGATTTTTTTAAACAGGGTTGATTAGCCACTTCTCCAAAGGTGATAGTCACATGGTCTTCAAGCATATGGAAAGATGTTCAGCATAAATCATCATCAAAGAAATGCAAACCAGAAACACAGGGAGCTCTCACCTCATACTCACTAGTATAGCTGAGAACAAAAAAAAAAAGAAAGAAAATGACAGCACTGGCGAGAATGAAGTGAAATCAGAACCCTCATGTGTGTGCCATGAGTGGGGTTGCACATCGCTGCAACTGCTCAGCCAGCTGAGGATGTGGCTCCTCAGAGAATTAAACTGCCCTGTGATCCGATAATTTAATAGCTGGACAGACGTCTGAAGGAGTAGAAAGTGAGGTGTCAAAACCATCTTTGCACACCCATGTCCACAGCCACATTGTTCACAAACTAGCCAAGAGGACAACCCAGATGTCCATCATCAGATGAATGTAGAAATAAATGGAATTTGTGCATACAGTGGAATATGATGCCACCTTAAAAAATGAAGGAATTCATGTTTCATCCTACAAGATGGGAGAAGCTGAAGATGTTATGCTTAGTGAAATAAGCTAGTCACAAAAAAAAATTATGAGTTTATATGCGCTATCTAAAGTAGTTAAACGCATAGAAACAGAAAACAGAAAGGTAGTTTCTAGGAACTAGAGTAGGGGAAAGGAAGTTGGTGGTATAAAGTTTCAGATTTTCAAGATAAAAACATTTTAGAGATCTAGCTCATAACAATGTAAAATACACTATTGCCCTGTACACTTATAATAAGTGTAATAATACAAATAACTAAGACTGAACTGTATATTACAACATAGATGGATCTTGAGGGCATTATTCTACGTGAAATAAATGGAGAAAACAGTCACTATGTGATCTGAAAATAAACATACACTGAATAGGTGTGAACCTGTACTTCTGAATCATATAGTGTTGTCAGCCACTGGTAGCACAATACAAATAATGTTTTTTTTAAAAAAGAATCAGAAAGCAGATTGGTGGATGCCAGGGTGAGTGACAGAAATGGGTAAAGGAGAGTCAAATGTCAAAAAAAATCCAGTAATAAGATAAATATTTCAAGAGGCGTCACATATAACATGGTGACTATAGTTAACAGTCACCATGCTGTATTAGACATTGCAGGTTGCTGAGAGAGTTGATCCTAAAAGTTCTCATCACAAGAAAAAGCATGTGTAACTACATAGGTGGCAGGTGTTGACTTACTGTGGCATCAGAAAGAAAGGAAAAAGAACACATGCTAGGTGCTCAGTGAACACTAGACAAATGAACAAGTGAACAAATAAATAAGTTAGTGAATGGGTGTGTTATTGGAAATGAAATGGTTAACAACTAGGAAACTTCCAGCACCTTTCCCAGGATCCAGATTTCCAGAACACCTCATCACCGCTTGTTTACACTATTTTTTCATCCTCAAAAGGGAGGTGCCCAGATCAGCCTGGCTGAGGTCTCCCGGTCTGGGGAAAGGTCGACTCGCTGGTACAACCTCTTGAGCTACAAATACTTGAAGAAACAGAGCAGGGAGCCCAAGCCACTGGGAGCCGTGGCCCCCACGCCAGGACCTGAAGTCACGGTAAGCCGCCACCACCCCCAGCCCCCCCCCACACACACACACACACACTCACAACGCACCTGCCTGGGTGGAAGGGAACACTTCTCCTAGTGCTGGAGGTTGGGCATCAGAGATGGAGAAGCAGAGAGGACAAGGAAGGAGAGACCCCTACCGATGGTCCCCTCTGCATTTGTGCTTTGCCCTCCCATCTTTTTATGTGCCCAATACGACTTGCCTAATGAAAACCTTTTAATTCACAATTAAAAAAAAAATAGAAAATGAGCCCAGATAGAGCATCTACTGTGCATCAGGGCCCATATTGGGGGCAGCAGGTCAGGGAATGACAAGCCAGAAGCCTAGACCCTTCTTAGTTAGGTGACAGGTCAGTTGATTCTCCTCTCTGTGCCTCTGCTCTTTCCTGTCTAATCTGAATCAATGAAAGATGTTATGAAACTTGGATAGAGTACCTATAAAAAGTACTGAGTAAGCACATGATGAATGATACCTGTTCTATTATTATCTTAAATTTCTTGAAAATCGTGCATTTGTTTATTTTTGTTTAAAGAAAAGAAAAAAAAAAGATATGCCGTTTTCATTTTGGTGCAGCCCACTTTAATAATGATTAAAATATGCTTAACCTGTTTCCTAGACTTGCAAAGCCCATGTCTGTCCAGAAAACCCAGGTAGACAGGCCAGGGCTCAGGTGAGCAATGAAGTTGCCTCTGGATGGAGAATATCAGAGTCTGAAGTCCTAGTGAGCAACTGATAGCACAAGAGAGCCAAACAGACAATGACTGGGAGGGTCAGCTTTTAGTTCTCTCTCATGTCTTCCTTCCATCAGTACTTGGTTACTTTGGAGAGTTACAACCCAGACTTACAATAAAGTTGGTGGGATAGGTCATAGAGGTAAGATAAAAGTAAGAAGCAAACCCATTTTCTTCTTTTTTTCCATCATCATCATCTTCTTCCCTTTTCTGCACTTCCTTTGGTGCTAGGCACAATCCCATTTATTATGTGTAGTTTTCCAAGACTCAGAAAGATTAATTGAATTATCTGATGGTCCACAATGATGCTAGGTCTCAGGCAGATCTCCCTCGCTCAAAAAGAGAGGTGGTGAACTGGCCTGAGTTGTGATAAAAGACTCCTGTGATTTCTGGAGCATGTCACGAGGTAATTAACTTCATTGGTTTCCTTACTTCGACTTCTTAAGAAAATAATCATGGCCCTACCTGGTGGTGCAGCGGGTTAAAGCTCAGCACTTCAAGTGAGCCACAGCCGCTTCAATCCCCTGCCCAGAGGTGACCCACATGGCACAACTCCAGACGTCTCCTGATCCACCTACTCCCCTCAGCAGTGTATTTCATAGATCTGCCTGTTCTACTCTCCACTCTTATCTGGTGAATTCTCACACCTCCCCTGCATCTCTCACCCGTACCCCAGTTCTATATGCATAAATAAATAAATCTTTAAGAAAAAAATAGAGAAAATAATCATAATCTCTACCAATCAGAAAGGCTGTAAATATTAAGCAAGATGCTACATATAGGCATCTATCACAATGCCTGGTATACCAGGGTGCCACTTGATTTTATTCTTTTTTTTTTTTTTAAAGATTTACTTATTTATATGCTACAAGAACTGGGTTACAGGCCATAGGTGCAGGGGCAGTGAGAGAATTTACCATAGACAGAGTGGGGAGCAGAACAGGGAGATCGAGGAAGTACACTGCTGAGGGGAGCAGCGGGCGAGACAGGAGAGGTCTGTTGCACCATGTGGGTCAACTCCCCAGCAGGGAATTGAATTCATGCTGATGTGGCTGCAGCAGCTTCACAG